AGTAGTTTTATTGTTGAGTAAAAATAAAAAAATGTCAAATTTCTTAAACTACTCCTAAGGTTTAGGAAATTGACTAACTATACCCTTCCTGTTTCAGTATTGTCTTAAAGTACCCCTACTATTTCTAACAATTGACTAGCTCTACCCCTACCGTTAGCATTCGTCAATATTCCATCAAAATCTGTATACATATGACACCACGTGATGTATAATTTTTCTTCTAAAACCCAATATTATCCCTATCCCTTTCTTCTCAATGAAGTTGTAGAACACCAGCACCCTTCCTCCGACCTCTCTCTCTCTATCTCAACCTCCGTTCTTCCCTCTCTCTCTCCCACAATCTATGTTCTCCCTTGCTCCACTGTCCGCTAGTTGTGCCGTTGGTACACTCTTCCACGTCTGGTCTCTCTCTCCCCTTCTTCTTTCTATTCATATTCTTCCTTTTTTACCCCCTGTTCGCTTTGTTCTCATACCACCTATTCTTAGTCACAAAAAAGATTTCTGACCACAGTAACCCCCTGTGCCTCTACTCTCTCTCTCTCTCTCTCTCTCTCTATCTATCTATCTATCTATCTTCTTCTCATAATTGCCCTCTCCGAGAGAGAAAGAGAGAAGGAGTGTTGGTGAGATTCTCACTTCTCATATCTCACATCTAATTCAGTTGTTTGTCGTAAATTGAGGTTGCAGAAGGAGTGTTGTTTCCATGGCAGCATTGTAGAGTTATAATGTCTAAAATTATTGGAAGACTCCGTCGAAAAATGTCCATGCAATGAAGTCCCCCTTGGTCGGTTAAGGGATCGAAGGTGGTTGCATGTCCTAGTCCCAGAGATGACTTCAACTTGGTCCTATCACTCTTAAGTAGAGGCTCATCGATGGACATAAGTGGGTCAAAGAAATGGAGTGCGGGATTGGCTATGAGGCCTTTTTTTATCAACATCACCAATTTGGAGGCCTTGGAGGTGATCCAAGATGAAGAGCGGTATCTGATTCTCAAGCATTATCATGTCACGTTGTATGGAATGCATAATCTTGTGCATAGCAAATATAGGATCATTTTGGGAATAGCCAAGTTCCTTGAACCCCTCAGTGGTGCCTCGAAAGATCTTAAGTATGAAACACCTATCCAACACCATCATCTCAACAAATTTGTTGTTGTTGAGAGGGATCATCCCATCATAATAGGCACGAGCCATATCCTCAAGCTCCCTAATGGATTCCAATTAAGGCTTCACATCTTGATTGGTACACTTGAGGATATGGTGGAGATATCGCCACTTGTGAAGTTCCATCTTCCTGAGGCATCTCCGGCCATGGTGATAAGGCCCCAAGGAGACTATATGGGAAAAATAGGCTTTATCTTTTCCCTCCCGGAGAGACTTGGTCATCTGATGACCAACGCCTGATCCACATTAGGGGCAAAGGTTGGGATCTAGTATGCAAGAGATTATATCGAAAAATGTCCAGGCAATGAAGTTCCCCTTTGCGTGATGGGAAAAATAGTATTTTTAATCCTTTTATTAACGGGCATTGATGGTAAAGAGGATTTAGTCAATTATCAAAAACAGAAGGGGTATAGTTAGTCAATTTTGTAAACCTTAGGGGAAGTTTAAGAAATTTGCCCAAATAAAAGTATCTTCTTGCCTAATTTTCTTGGTTAGGCTTTGGTTTTTATATGAGGGTTGGGCTCGGGCTTAAGATCTAGGATCAATGATTTGCTGGGCTTGGACTTGGACCTGAATATGTTCTATTAATATAAAGGCAAAGCCTGAACCATGAACAATTCTAGTCCCAACAAGCACTCCTCTCCACTTAACCTCAATTTTTTTTTCACTTAAGAATTTTTATTTTTAATACATTTTCCATTTAATATTTTTGACCCATAAATTCATATGTTTGGTGCAAATATTTGGGCCAACTTCAATATCATAGTCAAGTCAAAGAGATGATGATCATGAAAAGTGTAAGATAGGATGCCAAAAATAATAACTTTGATCATAATTTCCTTACTTGTTATGAAGGTAAAAACATTTCCAACCAATAATTTTCTTTTCCACCCCATCCAACAAATAATTAAACATTTTCCTTCCAGACTTACCAAAGTCCAAATTAACAGAGGCCATAATAGTTGTTATGACTACACACATTTTTGGATACCCAGGGATCTTGCAATGATCTTCTTAAATTTTTTATAAGCATTGTTATTAAGAAAGATCTCTATTTTTTTTAGATATACTTGTAGACCTGAAGCTTGTCTATATTTTATTAGTGCCTTTTGAATGTCCCTTCATGTCTTTAGATAAGTCCTCCAAATTGGCCCTTTTGTTATTTGTTGACATATTGCAAAGTTTGGAATACAACACCGCAATGCAAAGTAAGTTGTCACATTGTGATAAACCCTTGAAAAGGCTTCATTCTTATGTTGTAAGCAACATTTACAAGAAATTGATATAATGTTGTAGTGATATATCACATAGCCTAGTTAATTTGCTTATTACCATTTTTATTAGACAACAAGCTCTAGAAAAACTCCATTCAACTATATGGTACACTTTACATATATCTAATTTGATGACCATTATGCTATTATGTCCTTGGTTATTCTTAGGTTCTGGATAATTTCATGGGTGATAAGACAAAAAAGCACTCAAATTAAGCTTAATCTTTTTGCCAAGCATGGCATGGTATCTATTTGCTATCCTTTTACAGTATTGAGATCACTGATTTTTCATAAATCAAATAAGTTGTTTGTTTGGTACATTGTTGCCATGTCAACCCTTTTCTTAGAAATTGGTTATGAGTTTGTTTGATAGGGATCATCAATAGTAATTCTTTGTGTTTATGAGAATTATCTCTTTTATCCATGTCGGGTGCCATATCACTTAAAAATAATTGGAATAGGTTTGAAAAGAGGAATCATCAAATTTGCTTATTTCTATTTTCAACCTGATTTAAATAATCATTTTATGAATGATTTTGTTGATTTCTTTTGAGAAACCATCCAACTAAACACCAAAATAATTAGTGATTTTTGAATCATTTATGTGACTTTGACATGGCGCCGATTTCTGAGAAATTGCATCTGTCCCAAACACCACTTAGGACACACTTTTGTTTTTTAACTTTAGGGATCCTCCTCCTCATCATCATGCCTTATCCCAACTATATGGGGTCAGCTACATGAATCTTGTTTCATCAATCCGTTCTATTTAAAGCTATATCCATCGTTAATTTCTCAATGCTTAAAGTTGCATTCAATGGACCGGGCATGACTGGATGGGCCTGAACCAATTGAGACAGTTATGGTTCTAGCATGTATACCAATGGGCCTGAGGATAAAGGAAATGAAACCTAACAATATTTTTTGCCTTTTTTTCATAGAAATTATAAGAATGCCACTCTCTACCAACTCTCTCTCTCTTGCTTTTTTTTTTCTTTCAAATTACAAGAATGCTACTCTCTCTCTCTCTTGTTTTCTTTTTTTTTAAAATTACAAGAGTACCATTCTCTCTCCTACCAACTCTCTCTCTTACAAATGACAAGAACGCCATTTCTCTCTCCTTATGAATTACAAGGATGCCACTCTCTCTCCAACTGAGGGAGACCTCAGCTCGACATCTTGGCTGCTAGGGGACCTACAATCATAGGTAGTCAAGTTCGAGCCGAGCCGAGCTTGAACTTCAGAGCTCAAGCTCAAGTCTCTAATTTGAATTGAGGTTGAGCTAGATGACACCTCGACCACTAAGGGAGATCTCAACTCAACACCTCGGCAACTAAGGGAGACTTTAGCTCAACACCTTGTCAACTAAGGGTGACCGTAGCTCGACACCTCCCTTACTAGGGAAACTGCAACTTGACACTTCAACAGCTGAGGGAGACCTCGATTTGGCACCTCAGAAATTGAGGGAGACCTCGGTTGCTTGATAGACCTACAACCAAAGGTAGCTGAGCTCAAACTTCTGAGCTTTTGACCCAAGCCGAGCTTGAGCTCAAGTCTCTAATTCGAATCGAGCTTGAGCCTAATAGTTTATGAGCGAGTCCCTACAACGTAGGGCCCCCTCCGCTAGTAAATCTATTAAGCTAAAATGTGTACGTAAAGAGGCCTGAAGATGAGGGAAATGGAATCTAACAATATTTTTTTGCCTTTTTTCTTAGAAATTACAAGAATGCCATCTCTCTCTCTATCTCTCTTTATATATATAAATTACAAGAATGACACTCTCTCAACTGAGAGAGACCTCAGCTTGGCATCTTGGCTACTAGAGGACCTACAACCAAAGGTAGTCAAGTTCGAACTTTCGAGCTCAAGCTCAAGTCTCTAATTCGAATTGAGCTCGAGCTAGATGACACCTCGACCACATGAGGGAGACCTTGGCTCGGCACCTCGGTCACTGAGGGAGATCTCGGTTCAGCACTTCAACAACTAAGGGAGACCTTAGCTCGACACCTCACCTGTTAGGGAAACCTCAGCTCGACACTTCAGCAGTTGAGGGAGAGTTTGGCACCTCGACAATTGAGGGAGACCTTGGTTGTTTGAGAGACCTGCAATCGAAGGTAGCTGAGCTCGAACTTCCAAGATTTTTAGGGCCGAGTTGAAGCTCAAGCTCAAATCTCTAATTTGAATCGAGCTCGAGCCTGATTATGAGTGAGCCCCTGTAACGCAGGGCCCCTTCGCTAGTATATATATTAAATGTATACTATTTTTGGTAGATTTCTCGAGAATAAATCAGTTCTGTTTTAGGCCTAAAATTAGATACTCTATAGAATCTGGTTCGGTTCAGATTTATTATCGGGTTCGGTTCTGATTATACCCGACCCAGACCCGACTAGTTGACAGCCCTGGCGCTAGGACTCGCAATTCATATGAGAAATAACACAAAAGGCCGTAAAACCTGTAAGTATGACTATCGAATCCTATTCATTTAAATATTTCTTAAAAGGTCCACTGATTGAAGGGCCGTTTGCAAAATCCTCCAAAATTGACTCTAAAACCCTGCATACTTTCATAATTCTTGCTCTTGGAGTTCTGTAGCCATGGCGGCCTTCGAACTACTCCTCTCCCAAGCTCGCCGCCATTGTAACAGATTTCCTCCGTCTCAAATCTCTCTACTCTTCCGGTTTTCTTCATCTCTACAGCCTTGTCACGCTGATGATTTGGGATCTAGTATATTTCCTTTACTGTCATATAAACCCTCAATCTTCTACCGTTCTACCTCCACTTATAGATCCTCATTTCTAGGATATCATAGGTCGTTTTGCTCGTCTTCTTCATCTGAATCACCGTCGGACACCAGAACCGATGAAAATGTCAAAAGTCCTACTCAATCTGCAACCATTAAAGCAGTTTCTTACGCTGTGAAACCTAAGGATCCATCTTCAACCGCGGAAGAACTTCCCCAACAACCTCAAGCGCCATTTCCTCGAAGACAGAGAGAGACGGGAAGAGTTGCGTTCCGGTCACCAGAGAACGTCTCTGAACAGGGGACGACAACTTTGGAGCCCCGGAATTGGACGCGTGAAGACATTCGATACGTAAAGGATATTCCATCCATATCACCGGTATCTTATCCATCGCGAGTTGCGCCTCTTCCCGAGGACCGGGTGACTGTTTCCAGCGAAGAAGCGCCAAAGGAAGAAATAACGAAGGAAGAGGATAAGAAGGAGAGTGAGGAGTTGGAGCAAGAGAGGAAGAGGATAGAAGCCGATGTTCGATTACGACGGTTTTTTAGGGTAGAAGAGGAGAAGGTCCCTTTTCCGACACTAATCAAGGTAGAGAAAAAGAAGCAGAAGGTTGTTCTTGATTTGCAGGAGGCAATTAGGGAAGTCAAGGTCTGTATAAGCTTCTCTCTCACTAAAATTCTTATCTTTATATATTAAACCAGCAGTAGCTTCAATTCAGGTTAGTTTCAAGCTTGAAACCCATTTGAAGACATTTTTTTTTCTTATTTGAACAGTATTTATGGAAGTAGCTGGTTAGTTTCAATCTGAACACACTGAAATTTTCTCTACTTCCCTGTTTCTAGTAACGTGAATTTTTACTACCCTTTTATGCTTCGTTGTATCTGTGTTGTTAAGTATTCTCCTTTTGCATTCAGTTTATTGGAAATGTGAATTGCCTCATGCATTTCTGATTTGCCATTAGATGTTTCTGACTCGCTGCATAAGGCATTAAAGAGAACGCAAAAATTATTATATATTATGATTCAGAGCAATTAGTTGTGTACAGGATGGACTTTACCATCAACAGTTACTAGAAAGGTTCATGTTGCATTTGGTAATGATTTTTGGAAATATATTAACATTGTAAGATAATAAGGTGATACACTTACTAAGAGAATTGCAAATGATTACTAATCAGTTTGACGGTCCATTATGTAGTATTATAGATTATGGTAAAATATTGGGATAATAAGCATTAGAAAGTGGGTTCAAGTTGGGACCAGCATTGGGAAATGACCTTACTTTTACTTGACAGGGCGAGCTTCTTTTATTCTTTCATTGATAGATTTAAGTCTTCAGCCCAGGACTTTAGGGCAATTTTACCAGTTATACTACACTCTCAATATTTCAACAGAAAACATAATTGAGGCTGTTAACAGATACGAACTACAGCTATTATGTACTGAACATGGAATGCTCCATTCTTGTTTTGCATGTTCATCTACTTCATGTGATGCACTAATACTTTGTCCTTATTAGAGGGTGGGGCTTGGTGCAACGGATGGAACTGTTGGGTTGCTCCATTGTGACCTGGGTGATCAAGGTTCAAATCTTGAAAACAGCCTCCCTGTATGTGCAGGGGTAAGGCTGAGTACATCTGTCCCTCCCCAGACCCCATATTGGTGGGAGCCTTCCACTGGGCTGCCCTTATCCTCACTTCCTTATCAGTAAGCCAAGTTCAACCATGGAACCTCTCTTTATCGAATGCTTTATTTAGGAAAACAAAAAAAGTCGCATTTATTGATATTTATCTGCTTGAATTTTGGGAGCCAGACACATCCCTGTGTAGAGAAACTGAAGAACTGTATCATAGTTCTGTAGATTGCCCACCAGGAGGGCACTTTTTTAAATCAGAAGAACAATTCACACGAACCCAAGTTTCACTGTAACAGGAGTTTAGATTATGATGCTAGACTGAAGCTGCTAGGAATCCTCGTCAGTTGCATCTACCGGCATAGCTGAACAGTATCTCTGGCTGCCAAAACAGATTAACTCTACCACTGCTTGTCATGTTTTCTTTATCAATCAATAACAGTAATCAGGTTATTACTATTGTAAAATAAAAAGGTTCCTGAACATTTCATACTGTTTGAAGTGGAGGGTCTGGTATACAGTCTGAAAGTCGAAGACTGACCTATAAAGGACCATCAAATTTCAAGGACTTTTTTACACTTCCACCCTGGCCTAGGCATTTCGGAAACTAGTTCTTCTCCATTGACATCACTGCTTTCTACTGTATCAGCCCTTTCTTCTGCATATCTAGGGATCCAGTTTAATGAGCATCAGATCAACCCTACCGGTTGCCATGCTTTACCAATTAATCACTTTGTTATTCATCACAAAAAAATCTTACTGTTCATCAATTTGGAATTTTGAAATATCTTGTTCAGATTTTGATGGTGTTAAATTAACCACATATGGTCATCTAGATGAATAAATGGGCTTATTATTTGGAAGTTTTTCACATTTTTTTTGGCAATCACTTTTTCTCCCTTGTTGATCTAGTCATTTCTTTACTATTTAACTTTGCAAAGATCAGTCTTTGTTACGTTTTTCATTTCATTTCTAGCTATTGTGCAGGCTAGTGCCAAGCGGAATTTTGTTGAAACTATTGAAGCACATGTAAAATTGAGTGTTGATCCACGTCGTGGTGATCAGGTATTGTTTTGTTCTTGGTGTTCATACTGTGAAAGTCCTGTTTAAATATCTACAGTATCATTATACAAATAAAAACCATGATATGATTTGATGAATTGTTGGTATCAATTATTTTTTCCCTCTATCAGGCATCAAGTATTTTTGACATCATGAGAATACTTATCATCATTGTTTGCATGTTTTAGTATTCTAACCATTGATAAAAGAAAAATCTTTAAGCCCACAGTTTTCAGATATGTTGAACTATTTTTAAGAGATTTAGATACTTAGCTGTGAAAGTGCAAAATTAAATCTCTGACAAGAAGCCAAAACCTAGTTATTGGAGAATGTTTGAATCTAGACATGTAAGGCCTCCAAGTGTTGTATGCGATGCTAATATAAACATTTTAAAGTAAGTAAGATCTTTATTTAGGTTAAGCATGTAACTACAAGAATAATTAAATCTTCCAGCAGCCTGTATCTTTACACGTATTAGTACAAATATATACATGTATATGCACACATGCATCTATTTATGTAAGGCCGTGTTGTATGCGATGCTAATATAAACATTTTAAAGTAAGTAAGATCCTTATTTAGGTTAAGCATGTAACTACAAGAATAATTAAATCTTCCAGCAGCCTGTATCTTTACACGTATTAGTACAAATATATACATGTATATGCACACATGCATCTATTTATGTCCAGATATTTTCATTTCAACGTATTTGTACATAAAGACATAATGGCTATGTGTATATATAAACTTATAAACTGTGATTTTAATATTTGATAAGATAATGCTTATTTTTGCTATATTACTTCATTAGTTAAGGAAGATATATGTGATTGACATGACAAATTATCACAGAATTTTGGGGGAATGCCATGCCAGGTCATGGGACTCAACAGCAAGGACTCAATTGGCTGATGCTATAATGTCCTTGCTGTTGCAGTGATTTTTTTCAAGGTTCTTAATACAAATATACAATACTCTGTTAATTATCAAAAATAATTTTTGCAATTTTCCAATGAAGTTGAACTGGTTTCTACTGCCCATGATTAGGATAATAAACTTGAGTAATATTGTAGGCTCATCTGGTATTGCCCCCTCTCTCTTGAGCTTAATATATCACTGTATTAATTTTCTTTTAATGTAACAATATTGGACTTTGGCTTGTATACGTTTAAAATCTCTACTACTAGGAATTTGATTTATGTTAATCACTATTTAATGTAGTAGTTCTTGATTGTTATAAATTTTTTCTTATGGTAATTTTAACGAGTTTGGAGTATCCTATTCTATTTTGTAATTATTTCCTAAAACATCTATGCACTTCATGGTTTCCTACTATCTCCGTATTTTTTTATTACACTCACCAACTTTACATTAGCACTTCGTATTATAAATTTCCATTCATGATTGCACTTCATGGTTTTATTTCTCTCTTTAATTTGAATTACTAAACTAACTTTCTCCCCATATTTTTAAGACTTGAATGCTTGTTTTTTTACATTTAATGAATTTGCTTCTCATTCTTCTAAATATTTAAATTATCACAGTGATTTTCAGGATTCTGAGGACTAATTAAAAGGTGTTAAAGGTTTGACTTAAGTGATATAGGAAAAAGGAAAAAAAGTGAAATTTCAGGGCAATGCAAGCTTGGAAAAGGTATTTGGACCTAGGAGCCTCAGTGGCAACACACTCGGGCTGAAGTCCATGAGCCATCCCTTAGGACCAACGAAGCCATGTCAGCAAAAGTAGTTAGAACATGCATGTAAGACATGAGCTATCCCTATATAAAAGGTCCTGGAACCGAATGAATTGTTAGATTAGAAGTTTCCCTCTCAAATCTCTTCTTCTTTCTTCAAAAGGCGCCTAACTCCAGGTGGTGTGCACATACTAACTTCAGTTTTCACTGAAGGAGAGCTATTAGTCGAACCCTTAAAAATCATTGACTTTTAGTGGGTGAAGAACTGAAGACCGGAAAGAAGGTCATCAAGGAAGCCTTTGTCATTTGGACATGTTAGAATTGTTAGAAGTAATTGACAGGGGCAGTATTGTCTTTTTCATGTTATTCTTAGTAGAATGCTAATACAACCTGGGTCGACAGTAAGGAGTGAACTGATTTCTCCTTCTAGTCTTCCCTTTTTTCTTCTGTTTTTCTTCTCTTTCCCTTCCCTTTCTCTTCCTATGTTCTTCTCTTTCTTTCTTCTATCCTTTTCTTCACCTTTTCTTTATTAAAGTAGGAACATGGTATCAGAGCCTTGAGGTTGACTGTACTGTTCGCGACACTGTTCATGTCTCAACTTTTTGTGCCCTGGGAATAGAGAATATTCTCTATTCTTTGTTGGAAAGGAAAATGACTTAAGAAGGCTGGTTGCCCACTTGGAAAAGAGGCTTTAACGCCTCAAGTTGCAGTGTTGTGTGAGTTGAGTTGGTGGTGTTTTTCTAAAAGCCCTCTATTTGGCACTTTGAAGAGGGCAACTTTGTGATGTTTCGAGTTGTGAGGTAGGTGCTACTCAATGTGTGGTGATTTTGTAGTGGTTTGTGTTGTGGTGACACCTTGTGATAAGTATGCAATGTTTCCCAAGTGTTTCTAAAGTAGAGGGCTAATGATTCTTGGTGTTTTTCCTAAAGAAAAAGGTGTTACAGTAATTGCATACCAGCTGTTTGACAGTTTGCCTTGGTGATAAATCCGTGATCTCCTCTCACTCATGGCTTCATCAAATGGTAGCACTAAACCTATAGTAGTTGTGCAATTAGATTTCATGACTTCTCAATTAACTACGATGGAACTCAATGGTACTAATTACATCCCATGGGCCAAGTTGGTTGAGGTATCTCTCATTGCAAGAGGCAAGTTGAAGTACATCAAGGAGGGTACATTGAAAAGTGAATCAGAAGGGTACAAGAAAATGCACAATAAGTGATCTCCTCTCAATCATGGCTTCATCAAATGGTAGCACCAAACCTATAGTAGTCGTGCAATCACATTTCATGACTTCTCAATTAACTACGGTGAAACTCAATGGTACTAATTATATCCCATGGGCCAAATCGGTTGAGGTATCTCTCATTGCAAGTGGCAAGTTGAAGTACATCAAGCAAGGTACATTGAAAAGTGAATTAGAAGGGTACAAGAGAATTCCCAAATTATGACATCACTTTGGAATAGTATGGTGAATCACATTAGTGTAAATCTTATGTTTCTAGACACGGCCAAGGAGATTTGGGACCATGCCAAGCAAGTGTACTTTGGACAAGACAATGTCACAAGAATTTACTAGTTGTATCAAGACTATTTTTCTCTTCAACAAGGGGATAAAAGTGTTGAAGAATACTATGCTTCTCTAATAAGCTTAAGGAATGAGTTCAATGTTTATCAGCCCCTATCCACTGATTTGAAGACTCAACAAGAACAACGAGAACATCTAGATGTAGCTAGATTTTTATATGGGTTGAAGTCTGAATTTGAACTAGTGCGGGCCCAAATCTTAGGGAGTAGTGATCTTCCAACATTGTGAGGTTTTCTCTCGCATAAGGAGAGCCTCAAAACCATAGTGGTCATCCCCCACCTTCAAAGAGATCAACCATGGTGGTTTCCCAAGGAGGTTTTCTTGGTAGACATATGTGTAGTAGAGGTGAAGGAAATGTGAGGGGTTTTGGCCGTGAGCCCAAAGGTGCACGAGGAGGTAGTAGAGAGTTTGGTGGTGCAAAGGGGTAGTGGTAGTGGCCATGGTTCAGCTCGTGAGTTCTCACATTGTGGACGAGGCCACACAGTCAACTTTTGTTATGATCTTTATGGCCCTCCGTCTTCCTGGGCTAATTAAGCAATGGTGGAAGGTGATTTTGGGAGTTTTAGTGTGACTGAAGATGCTCCTACTTCCAATGTTGGTAAGGATAAAGACACAGTCTCTATCTCACATGAGGAGTATGAAAAGCGATTGGTGGTAGTCGTGAAGTTGGAGGACTGTACTACTTGCATGACCTTGGTCCTTAGAAAGCTCTTCATTCCTCTTTTACACCACATCAGTGGCATTGTTGTCTTGGTCATCATTTTTTGCGTGTTTTGAAAAAGCAAGTCCCAACCTTGGAGTTTGTAACTTAGCTAGATTGTGAATCATGTCGGTTGAGTAAACACCATAGAGTGTTTCTTGTTCCTAGGGATGATAAGAGAGTCTTGAGTCCTTTTGCTTTAGTCCACTTAGATGTTTGGGGTATAGTTGTGTGTCATCTTATAATGGATTTAGATATTTTGTAACATTTCTTGATGACTATTCAAGAATAACATGGATTTACTTAATGAAGGATCGTTCAGAATTGTTCTCTATTTTTCTATCTTTTCATGCTGAGATAAGGAATCGGTTTGGTGTATGCATTAAAGTGTTTTATTCCGATAATGCCAATGAATGCTTTCATAATAATTTTCAATCTTATTTTGACTCTCATGGTATTATACATCAGTCCTCATGTTCACACTTTCCTCAACAAAATGGTGTGGCTGAGAGAAAAAAAACGCAATGTGATTGAAATTGCTCAAGCCTTGTTGATTCAAATGTCAGTTCCTAAAATCTATTCAAATGTCATAAACCGTATACCTTTCTCTATCTTGTTTCCTTTCACTTCCCCCATCTCTCTTCCTCCTCGTGTGTTTGGTTGTGTGTGTTTTATTCACAAATTGGGTCTAGGCCATGATAAACTTGACTCCAGAGATATGAGATGTGTTTTTCTTGGTTACTCTCGTACTCAAAATGGTTACAAATGCTATGATCTTGTTTTACGGAAAGCTTTTGTTGCTCCAAATGTTACCTTCTTTGAGAATTTACCCTATTTCTATGGACCTGGACCTTCTCCTTCTATTCCTCTTCCCTTTGAATCTGGTATGTCTTTATTCCCTTGCCTACTATGGAGGAGCCTATTTGACCATCCATTCACATAGTGTATTCTAGAGTGATAGACAACCAGAATTGTTGCTAGTAGTTGATCCAACTCTAGCTTCTGACATGCCACCAGAG